CAAAATATTGCTTGTTAAAAATGAGTGGATTAATTTATTAATTTAATCTTAAACTGTTTTTTGAATAAATTCATGCGAATGAATATTGATTAATAAAAGAATAATTAATTGAATTCGATAATGATAATATTGTTAAAAGAAGAACTGTTGTTTGAATTGATTTATCAAGCCAATTGACTGATATAAGAAATAAACATGAATCCCCATATTCACGTTAAGATAAAATCTAGACAATAACTTAAGCAAAAACAACGATATCTCATGTTTGAATAGATTTCAATGCATGAGTATCCGTATAGAAATAGTTATTTCATTTTTCTCATAGAAAATTCTATGTCAATTACAAAACTCTGTTTTGAAGACTGAAGAAAAATTTCTTATATTTTCGTACTAAATATATATATATATATAGTATTCTTACTTCGACTTGAAAGTTTTGTTTTACTTCTTAAATAATATAAACTATAAGGTGAAATATTCTATTTGGTATCTTTTCGAATGTGATAAAATATTTGTATTTTGTTTGTTTAGCATAAGAGTATGGAAACTTAAAAAGAAATAAAAATAGATAGGGAACTGACACTATTAAATCTATGTCAGTAAATATTCTTTTGTGAGTTTTTAGATTCTACTTTATAAGTTTCACTAAACCTTTTGAGACCTTTATCAAATTGAAGTACCGTGAAATAAACTGTTCCACAAATCCTTTTACCAGATTGACTGAATTCATCTAAGCTCTCCTACAGTTACAATCCTTGCTATGCTACTAGGTTCGAGCTATCCTTCATAGTCTAGAAAAACTACTTATCATTTATTTTTTGGTTTCTACCCGAACATGTTGGTTAATTAATCATTTTATATTTTCATTTTGTTGCTATAATTATATATAAATATTCGCAAATGTTAAAACAAAATAATTTATATTCATCAATTGATAATTGATGTTTTTTTTTGCATAGAACATTTATATAAAGAGCATCTATCATTTTTAGAATATTCACAAAGTATTAAAAGTCTTTCAAAATAAATTCTTAGAATTGTTTTTACCTAAAATTATCATTTATATTATCTTTAATTAATTATAATAAAAAAATCATAGAAATTTATATAAAATAAAACCATTTAAATTTAAATTTTTATTATTTTCAGTATCGTTATTTATTTTGTATAACCATAAATTATAAATGATAAATTTAAAACCATCAATGCTAAGAGAAAAACATCAAATTTCGAATTTTCAAGAAATCAATTATCGTTTTCGATTTTTGTCAAGGTTGAAGTCCTTTAGTCAAATTCTATAAAAATGAAAGTACCTTTATTTTCCTACAATAGATTTTTCTTAACGGAAAAATTGGCGTTAGCTTTCTAATTACAAGATACCTAGAATCATTATTATTTAGAAACCAACCGATGTATCGGTACTTTCGTTGTATTCTTAATATATGAATAAAATCAAATAGTTTTCTTTTTTATTCAATGTCGAAAAATGTATCATGATATTCTCTTGTTTATATTGTTATTGAACAACATTGTCAAAAATATATTTTTAGTCCTATTGCAAACATAATATTTCGAAGAAGTATATAGCTGAAAGAAAATATCATAATATATCAAATACATAACAATGTTCTATTAAACATAATAGCTATGTGAAATTAGTGCATCGGTTAAAATCAAAAGTTGATCTTTCGTAAAACTTCGTTGATGTTCATGCCATGAATCATAATGAGTACGACGAAATTCAGATAAACATTGGTGAATTGATTTCTAAAGAAAAAAGAATTTCATTGATTTATACAATAATAAATAGAAAAAAGAAAATATACTTGTATCATATGACGATCATTTGAATGTTCGCAAAGAAATATTAATGCATCTGGTACAAAAGATGAAATATCATATGGACCTGAGAGAATAATTGCACATAGACCCAAAATACCTACAATAATAATTAAAATCACATGATCATATAATTCACATTGACTACCTCCATGTTGTGTGATAATATTCTTCGTCAAAGTTACTTTTTTACCATCGATTTTACTCATCATACGAAAGTATTGCTAGTACATTAAATAAATAAATAAAACTTTATTTGAATAAAAGAATGTCCTACCAGATCTTTATCAGTTACTTGAACATAACCACATTGATAGAAACTTGATAAAGTTGTTGATGCTGATAAACGTACTTCTAGTTGTTCATCAAATAAACATTTGATTACAAGTCTATGTAATTGTTTAGCATATTGACGAGCATTAAATAAATTAGAAAAGATCATATTTTGAATAAAATCAATAGCAGTTCGACGTGCATGCCGTTTTGGATTCATACAAACCTATACTTAACAAAGTTACTTTCTATATTCAAGCTTTTATACTACAGATCATTAAATTCAATTGAGCACAGTTTTTTTTTCTTTAATATTTACTGAAGGTATTATACTTTCAGAAATTTGACTGTGACTGAATCAGTCATTTATTAATATAAAAATATTTTTATTCAAGACCTCCGTTCAAAAATTATTTTAAATGCAATTTCTATCGTATACACATACTTGTTCTAATTGTTGAATAAGTGCTTCTAAAAGCTGTTCATGTAAATAACTTGTTCCAATATTCATTCGACTAATCAATAAACTGTCTTTCAAGGTATCATTATTAGCACCAAAACTTTCCATTTCACAAAGCTAAATAAAAAAAAATAGAAATAATAATTATTAATAATATATAATAAATATATATACAGAAGGAAAAATACGAATAAGTGAATCTTTCACTGGTTGTCGTGACCAAAAGAAGAATGATTTGAGTATTTGAAGGACTAGATTATATTAAATAAATACATATCATGACAAATACTTAGTATTTACCTGTTTCCATAAAATTTAATGCTTTACAAGCTTCAAATTCCATTGTAATGGCTTGATTCGAGGCATTGACTAAAGATATTATTTGAAAAATTGAAAGAGAAAGAGGAGAAAAAACAATCAATCATACTTAAAGGTTTCTTATCATAAACTTCAATAGCTTCTCGTAATCGTTCACATATATCATCAACAAATTGATTAACATCAGGTTCATGTATCAAATTTTTATTCGATAATGTTATATCTAAGCTAAGTGATATTGATAATACACTGATAAGAAAAAAGAAAACAAATCAATTTTCATGTTACATTAAAAAAATAAATTTTTAAAAATTTCTCACCCAGCAACATAATCTCGTATAGATTTCGATGGATGATCGAGTAACATTTTAGCTTGTTCATGTATAGAACACCAAATTGATGGAATACGCCATTGAAAATTTCTTAAACTTTCAATTAATGACCGTCGAAAAGTTTCATGAAGTGTATTAACCACTGTTTGATTATTAATAAATATACGAAAAAATTCAATTAATCGATTCATTCGACGAGGATCCATATTTTCCTATGAGATTTTTTTAGAAAAATTATTTTTAAAACAATGAACAGTTCATTGAATCAATAACTAACCATGCTATACCGAAAGCACAGATACCAATAGAAACGTGTTTCAATATTGAGATAAATCAAGGGGGAAAAAGCTGAGTTTTTTGATTTAAATCAGACAAGAAAATCAAAAAACTCAAAAAATCAAAAAAATCGAAAAATCAAAGAAATCAATGAACATAATGTCTTACACTATGTTTATACGGCGCTCTTATGCATGATTAAGGCGATCATGCATTGCTATGCGTGCATAACTCGTCGTCTAAATCCGCGCTTAATCATGAATAACGGCTTGTGCATGATTAAAGTTATGCATGTATTAAACGTGCACAACTCTGTGCATACATAGCACTATGCATGTATATGTGTGCACGATTGCTGTTTAAACGCGTCGCTCATAGTATATGTAATCAAAACGGAGGCTCATGATCTGATTGGATTCGAGTTTTTGTTTCAAACAATAACTCTCTCTCTTTCTTAAAACAATTGTAAAAAAAACATTTTTCTCATTTATTCAATTTTTAGCTGTTATACACCGAAAAAAAAATTGGTTTATTACTGAACTTATAAGGTTTCCC